CATTTTGTTTAATAAAGACATTCAATTTCTTAATCGTGATGTCACCGCTCGTTTACATTTAAGTAACATTGGTTAGGAATCGGAATCGTTAAAAATTTAGGTATTGTTTTATCCCCAGTTTATATCGTCTATATCTCTCATTCACAATATTTACAGATTCTTTGTAGATATTTTTATTAAATATTTAGGCGTTGTAAATTAAAGTTTTAGTAAGACAAACAAAAAACAAATGAAATATAATAAAAATTCTTTTAGATTTATTTTTTTCAATTTTAGATTCAATTTACCCTTAATTATGGACAAGTTTCTGAAAAGAAAAGGCAATGGTGACAAGAATAATTCTACAACGTCATTTAAAAAAACCAAAAGTTCACCGGTTGTGTAGTGATGATTACTTGAAATTTGGATTTCACTGGACTGGAGATACACAGATTCCTTCTCCGCTATGTGTTGTTTGCGGCCAAACGCTGTCTAATGAAGCAATGGTTCCAAGTAAAATGAAAAGACATCTTACTATTAATCACCCTTGCCTTCAAACTAAAAATGTCGATTATTTTCAACGGTTATTAGAATCAAATGCAAGGCAAAGTCAAATATTTAACAGTAACCATATCTGAAAAAGCTCAATTAGCTTCATATGAGGTGGCCGAAATTATTGCTCTTAAATCGAAGTCTCATGTTCTTGCAGAATCAGTGATCCTTCCAGCATGCAAAAAGATGGTGAAAATTATGCTTGGTGATAAGGCTGAACAAGAAATTAGCAGGATCCCTCTTTCAAACAATACAATTCAGCGAAGGATTCTTGACTTGTCTAATAATATTGAGGAAAGTGTAATATCCAAATTTCAAAATAGTCTGTTTGCTCTCCAAATTAATGAATCCACTGACATCAGTAATCATGCACAGTTAATTGCATTTATACGTGTCATCGATGAAGATGCCATAATTAATCAACTTCTATGCTGCAAACAGTTACCCACAACTACAAAAGGTCAAGATATTTTTGATACAATCACAATATGCCTCGAAAAATATGGCTTATACTGGAATTTATGTGTGGGAATATGTACTGATAGAGCACCATCAATGGTGTAAAAGGTTTCGCATCTTTAGTAGAAAAACAGAATCCTTACATCGTGCGAACTCATTGTCTTTTTTACACAGAGAGGTATTAGTTTCAAAGATAGCACAAAATGAACTAAAAGAGGTGATGAATCAAGTGATTGAAATGGTAAATTTCATAAAAACTCGGCCTTTGAAGTCCAGAATTTTTGAGTTGCTGTGCAAGGATATGAATTCTCATTATGCTCGGTTACAATTGCACACAGAAGTAAGATGGTTATCGAATGGAAACGTGCTATCTCGCGTAATTGAGCTTCAGAAAGAACTTTATTTTTTATTTTTTTTATTTTTATTTTTTTTTTTGGAAAATGAAAATCTTGATACATTTTGTAAATACCTTAAAAATGAATTATGGATGTCTAAAATAGTGTACTTAAATGAGATATTTAGACATCTCAATAGTCTGAACAGCAATATGCAAGGAAGAAACGTAAATATTCTTACGGCAACAGATAAATTAGTTGCTTTTAAGAAAAAAGTTGCAATATGGAACAAAAGAATGAAGTTAGATAATTTGGATATATTTCCCTTAGTTCGCAAAACCTGCGTTACCAAGATGATTCCCATTATCAGTGAGCATTTGACATGTTTAGAAAATAAAATTGAAGGCTATTTTCCATCAATCAGCATTGAAGAATTTGATTGGATTCGCAATCCGTTGCTAGATTTATCAGTTATGAACCTTTTCAATTTTGAGTTACGTGAAGAGGAAGAATTAGCAAGCCTTTCCAGTGATCGTGGTCTCAAATTGAAGTACGCACAACAGCCATTGGACGTCTTTTGAATTTCTGTTATGGAAGAGTCTCCAACTCTAAGTAAAAAAAGCCATCAAAATCTTACTGCAATTCTCAACTTCGTACCTATGTGAACTGGGATTTTCTTACCTAAACAACATTAAAAATAAAAAACGTGAAAGACTTTAAGATATTGAAGAAGAGTTTAGAGTGTGTCTCTCTCACATTCGCCCAAATATTGCATCAGTAATCAAGAAGCACCAGGCACAACTCTCCCACTGACATTCGCCATTATTATTTTATACCCGATATTGAATACAGGATATGTTGATTTATGGGAATAAAAATTCTTCTTATATAATATTCTTTGTTTTTTTTATTATTATTTTATTGCAAAAAGGCTTTATGAGTGGAAAATATTTATTTTTGTGATAGGCGTGCCTCGAAAATTTAAAGAACTCAATAGTGTGCCACCATGTAAAAAAAAGGTTGGGAACCACTGCACTAGACACATATCGTCTGGCCTATTTCCGGACACTGAGTGTTGGCATTATTGTTACGTCGTTAAATGTCTAAAGATTTTTTTTTCTCTAAAAGTTTTGCTTGTATATAAATGTGTCGTATTGAACTACAATTTGTTTTTTGATTTTTTTTTTGACGACTTCATAAAGGGTTTTTTTATCTTATGATTGAGTTAAGTCTATTAATAGACTATGAAATTTTAATTTTTTTATAATGTAATTATTTAATGCGAAAATTTGTTGATGTCGACAAAAAAACGTTAACTCATGTCTATAGTTTAATAAATTTTCATTTTTTAGAAACTTAATAGTGTGTACTTTTTCATGTAGGCATAAAGGGCATGGGTCATCCCAGATTTTACAAGTTCTTGTTCTATTTATTATTTTCCATTTTACTTTTAATTAAATGCAGTAAATTTGAAAATAAGTTATTCCAAAATTCGCTTGAAGATGAAACAGAACTAAGGCTTTTAATTTAATTATATAATCAAATTTGAAGTTATTACCTTCTGTTTTTGAAACATGGTAATTCCTGTGTAGCGAAGAAACCATATTTTAAATCAGTTAATTTACAATATTTATGGTCTGTAAATTTACATTGAGCACTGCTTTGTAAAAATAAAAATATCAGTTAAGAACACCGGATTATATATCTTACTGTTCTTTCTTTTTATTATAATATATATATATATATATATATATATATATGTGTGTGTGTGTGTGTGTGTGTGTGTGTGTGTGTGTGTGTGTGTGTGTGGAAAAATAGGAAATAATACGTTAGGTAAATAATCCGGAGTTCTTTAATATTTTTGTTTTTATTTTTAAAAAACAGTGTTCCATACAGAAGTAGAGCTTAAATTATAATTATTTTTTTAAAAATATGATTCCTTCGCTACATAAGAGTTCTCATGTTTCAAAAACGAGAGTTTCTAAATAATAAAAATTTATTAAACCATAGACATGAGTTAACGATTTTCTACCGACATCAACAAATTTTCGCATTAAATAATTAGCATAAAAAGAATAAATTTCATAGTCTAATAAAAGGTTTAAAAGCTTAACCCAATCATAAGATAGAAAAACCCTTTATGAAGTCGTCAAAAAACAAATTGTAGTTCAGTGCGATGCGTTTGAGTATGAAACAGCCCTTTAGAAAAAAAAAATAAAAAATAAATAAATACATAAAATAAAACAAAATTTCTCCAGACACTTAACGACATATTATGATACCAAAAGCTATCTTTCGCTGTGACTGACCAAACGATGTGTGCACATGAATGCCATCATTCGCTTTGAAATGGACACCCCTAACCCATCTCGGCTTGACCTCTCTCCGAAAGTGACTGATATATGGATAAAAATTAACTCTTAGGCCCCTTATCAAAACGGCCGCCCCAGCTGTTTCCATAGTAATTAATTTTGCGAATGAAAATGCTTATAAAGATGCGTAAATTTCAAAATTGGTAATTCCTAGATTTTCGCTTGAGGATGAAACAGGGCTTGATACTTTAACTCAATTTAATTTTAATAATTATATTAAGGTTTTCGGCTCTCGTTTTTGAAACATGAGAACTCTTATATAGCGAAGGAATCATATTTTTTTAAAATAATTATAATATATATATAATTATATATAGAAATAATTTATATATATATAATTATATTAATATTATATATTATATATATATATAATTATATTTTATATTATATATATATATATATATATATATATATATATATATTAATATATATAAATAATTATATATATATATATAAAAATATATATATATATATATACTCTCACGTCGAATTCGACGTATGAGGGTTAAACAGATCGGTTCCTAGGAAACCGACTTCAACACATGAGATTTGTTTATTATATATATATATATATATATATATATATGGTGAGATTCGAACACGGGTCTCATGGTTAGAATGCGAACGTCCTAACCTTTTTATATATATATATATATATATATATATATATATATATATATATATATATTCTACATTTAACACCATCACTTGATATGACACCAGAAGTGTTGAAACAAAATGGCTATTTTTGTAGTGATTTTTTAACATTTTCATGTTATAATTTTAGAATAAATAATTATATTTGCTCTACTCTGTATTGAGCACTCTTTTTAAGAATCGTATTTGATGGTTATTAGAACTTATTCCGTATACACCAATCCTATACTTATATATATATATATATATATATATATATATATATATATATATATATATATATATATGTATGTGTATATATGTGTGTGTGTGTGTGTGTGTAAAATATTTATGTACATAAAATACTAATATATATATATATATGTTCAATTTTTTTATATATTATTCATATATTATATATGCGCTGTACTTATTGGAAAGCGCTCAATATCAGTGATAGAGCTAACATATTTAGTTGGATTGATGTGAGTTTTTGATCCTATATATATATATATATATATATATATATATATATATATATATATTCTACATTCATAAGACACCAGAAGTGTTGAAACAAAATGGCTATTTTTGTTGTGATTTTATAACATATTTATGTTATAATTTTCGAATAAATAATTATATATATATATATATATATATATACATATATATATAGATAGATAGATAGATAGATAGATAGATAGATAGATAGATATGCAATTTGCAAGATCCGTTCAAGTCAGACTAAATTCCACCGCGTCCTGAGTATACGGACTACTTCAAACACTTCCATCCCGTACTTATTTGAGAGGTACGGTTGCTTGTACCTCTCCAATACGTGCCTGACACCTCATTTCATCCTCTACTCTTACAAGAACCGGATTAGACCTAGAATGAAGCACTGCTGTCATAGATTGCTATTTCCATTGAAAGTGTTCCGACGGACTTCATTCCTTAGTTCCACTAGTTCTAACCTTTAGGGATAAGACCCGCCATGGCAGGGCACATTGTAGCGACCCTAAGTCTAGATTCCCATTGGTGAGACCTAAGTTCCAGTCGAACATCTTTTTTTCCTGAACACCGACTGCAAGCTTTGGAAGTAAATGCACATCTTCCCTCTCCATCAGAGATAGAAAGAATTTTATAGATGAAGAGAATGGTTGGCATGAAATAGATAACTCACTCGAATGATTTTCAAACAAAAATGAGATTCCCTACGTGGCTTGTATTTTTTTACCGGTTGCGCCATTCCTTAACTCCTAAGACTCGCCAAGCCACGCCCATTCCAGCGAACCACCCTCATTCCCTTCATATTCAATTAATGAGATGTAAGTTTCACTCAAGCAGCTTTTTCCTACGAACTACTGCTTTGTGAAACCGACTCATAAGATGTCTTACCCAACCACTATACCCGTAAACAGTTCAATTTTCTGGTTAACCGTTAGCTTTCCCCCTCATATTTCCATAAATCGTGACTATTAGTCTGTAACCCTCTACCTCGAGTTGCTCTTAGGCCTTATACAGTATGAACATCTTTGTAAAAAATAAATAAATAAATAAAATAGAACATGCGCACAGGCCCGAGGCCGTGTCGGCATTATAAATCTCCACTACCTACAAATACCTTTTCTTTCTAGATTCACCACGAGGAAGGCGATACGATCGCCCACGCACACCCACGCGTGGGACTCGACTGCGTCTTCAAAAGGAAAACATGAAAAAAAAATACAGAATTCATAGGGAAAATGTTGTCATTTTTTTTCCTTTTTTTTTTTTTGACTCTCGTTATCGTCGAAGCTTCTCGATTTCGTCTGTTAATCAACCAGAAAAGTAATGGCGTCTGTCCGACCATTGCTTCTTATCCGTTGCCCTGAGATGCTCTTAATGAAAGATATTTCCTTCAGGGCTGTTTCTCGACAGATCCGATGTGAATAATTGTAGACAGACACTTGATTGATGACTGACCTCTGCCTGAGATGGCCGAAGCTACAGTTTTCCTTAGTGTATGGATATTTTTTAAAACTAGCAACGATACCTAGCATTGTGCTGGCTAAACCCCTTTCCTTTACTACGCTGCGTTATTCCATAGTTTCGAAGATTTATGCATGCTGCAAAAAGGAATTAGGGACGTTACGTGCAGTGGCTTCCCTCAGTCTTTTCTATAGATATTCTCACGGCAACTGTTCCGACGAGTTGCTTTCACTGGTTCCCAGACTGCATGAATTTAAGAGATCTACTATGCTGGCATCTCGGTCCCACCCTTTCACTGTGGAAACGGTTAAATGTAACCGTCTCTTCTACTCAAACTGCTTCTTTTCGTGCACCTCTCGACTGTGTGACGTCACGAGCTTCGACGCAATTTTCGCTTCCGCGGATCGTATACACGAGTTTGTCGTTGCTTTGAATTTTTTCATGCAGCAAGGGCGGACTATCATTGTTGTTTCGTTCGTGTGTTGATTGATATATTGAAATTGTCATCTTTGATAATGGCTTGTGTAAGCCGAAAGCTTAGATTGGATTTAAACATGTATCAATATGGTGATTTCCTTTCGTCTTTCAATGATAATGTTATTAAGCTTATCAGAAAGGAATTTACTTAAAATTAATAGACAAAAATATATATATATATATATATATATATATATATATATATATATATATATATATATAATAATAATTAAATTTTGTATTAATTTGTCGTTTTTGTTGTCTTCTTGTTGACCTGTCAGATTTACGCCGTTTCGGGCCTCATGTGACTTATCTTTGCTTGGACTCACAGTCCATATCCTATATTATACAGTGCCTCTCCAGGTGATCCGCAAAAAGAGATAGAGAGAGAAATAATCATGAACAGACCGAGATAGATAGATAGATAGATAGATAGATAGATATGAAGGCACTGAGATAGATAGTTATGAAGAAGCCAAGATAATATATATATATATATATATATATATATATATATATATTGGCAGGCTTAGAGACGAAAGAGAACTGCGAAAAAGATTCCCGTTGCTATGTCCTGGGATCCTCGCTGTTGCACAATATGTGGGTCCATATGCAGGTCACTAGCAGGGCTGAAGTTTCACATACGACACAAACATAAAAAAAAACAACTGGATGAGGTTGTCGGATCCTCATCCGTCGAATGACGAGCGAGTGTATCTTCACATATTTATAATTTTGCGTCTTTCGAGTGGACACACAGACAAACATCGAGCTTTATATCTTAGATGAGGAGAGAGAAGCTGAAATCATTAAGGCTGCTTTTTCCTCATTTAACGATTAACTGGACGCGATTATCCGTGCTCATTGATCTTACGCTTTACTAATCCTGTTCATAAATAAATTTAGAAATCAATAAGAAAAATCAATATCAACATACATTGGGCAGCTAAAATAAACTTTTTCTTTTAATTATTTCTATTTAACATGGCTTTACTTTATTTATTCTTTTTTTATATTCCAATTAGTTTTTCAGAACAAATACCGTTTTTATTGTATTTGTTTTAATATTTTCTACATTTTTTATTCATTTTACACCACTCACAATTTAGTATAAAGTATGTTATAAAATATAAATATATTATAAAATATGTCATAAAATATCATACAATATATTCTAAATTATGAAGTAATATTATAAAATATATCATAAAATGTTATAAAATATATTATAAAATATTATAAAATATAATAAAATATATTATAAAATATAAAAGTATCTTATAAAATATTATAAAATATATATTATAAAATATTATAAAATGTTATAAGATATATTATAAGATATATTATAAAATATTATAAAATATGTCATAAAATATTATACGATATATTATAAGATATGAAATATGTTATAAAATATTATAAATATTAAAATATATATTATAAAATATTATGAAAGATATTATAAAAATTATTATAAAACTTTATACAATATATTACAAAATATTATAAAATATATTATAAAATATATTATAAAATATAAAAACTGCATCTGGGTTGGCCAATGTGTAGTGAATAACTGGCCTCCGTCCAACGCTACAGATGAGCACCGCTAAAAAGATACCGATATTCACTATAAAGGACCGTCGTCTCATAGGGTACCGACCACCGCGAAGCATAAAAAAAAGTGTTTGAAGTAAACCGTATACTCATTACGAAGATGAGGAATCAGTAAAGGAATCTAATCTGGTATCCGCAGATCTTGCAAATCGATGAAACGGAGAGACGTCGAAAAGTAAGAGATCAGTATATATACATACTGATTCGTTATATCATAGCTTATCAGTGTGCTTATATTGCTTCAAGCCAGGATCAAAATCCGACAGATTCGACAACAGTCCGATATTTTTACCCTAAGCCATCGGCGCACATTTGTATGAAAGGTGAATTTTTACGTACTTATTCTGTGAATAAACACGTTAATGACTGAGAGAGCTCAATTCAGTAAAAGGTAAGAGCCTTGTAATATTAGTAGTAATGGTCATTGTTTACAAGTTCGCACTTATCTTCCAAGAGTGCACAACATAATTTAAGTTTTTCGGGTGCGTATATATTGTCATCCACAGACATACTGTTTCGCTGTATCACAGCTCATCAGTGTGGCTAGACATCAGAAATACATACATATATATATATGTGTGTGTGTGTGTGTGTTTTAAGATCATTTTTATGTTTATACATTCTTTTTTTAGATACAAATATTTAAGTAAATGCTCTGGTAATAATAAATAGTATTAATGACATTTACCGGCCTGAATATCCGAGAAATTTTCATAGGAAATATGTGTCCTCCGACAGGAATCGAACCTGTATCCTATAAGGAACCGTCATATACCCTGACGTGCTTTTACCGATTGATCCGTTTCGGTTAGGTCGATTTACTGTTTTTAAATTTACAATTCTCCATGATTTTCTCTTGTACATTCATATCTGCTCGATGCGTATCTAAATGTAAACAAATGACGTCACACATTATGAAATTCATAGAAATTTCATAGAAAATATTCGTCCTCCGACAGGAATTGAACCTGTATCTTATACGGAACCGTCATTTAGCCTGACGTGCCTTAACCGATCGATCCACGGAGAATCGTTCGATTGGCAAGGTCGATTTTACTGCTTTTAAATTTCAATCATCCATGAATCTCTCACGTACATTCATATCTGCTCGATGCGTATCCAAATGTAAACAAATGACGTCACACATTATGAAATGGACAAAGTCCGACAATTATTTTAAGACACTTTTATGTTTATACATTCTTTTTTTATAAATACAAATATTTAAGTAAATGCTCTGTTTATAATAAACAGTATTAACAACATTTGCCGGCCTGAATGTCCGAGGAAATGTCATAGAAAATATGCGTCCCCCGACAGAAATCTAACCTATATCCTATACGGAATCGTCATATAGCCTGACGTGCTTTTACCGATTTCGCCACAGAGGAGAGTTTCGGTTAGCAAGGTTGAATTTACTGTATTTAAACTACAATTTTCCATGATTAATAAAGTAAATATATGACGGTTCATATATATATTGATAGTCATGTCTATCTTCTTTCTTTTTTAAGAAGTCTCCACCCTGTCGCTTCAGGGTGGAGACTCTGCCCAACTCCCTATCCTTCGTAGTTTCAATAACATTTTGTCTACTTACTACCCCACCCCAGCTACCTGTCTGTACAAAAATTGTTAGGTAGGTTACACACTGTCTTCCTCTGCTCCCACTTGCCTTCAATATGCCTTGTGAAGGTCAAATTCTTCATACCTTCTTTCTTTTCATCTTCAGTTGTCTCAGATATTTGTTTGTCTCTTTCTAAGTCTAACTACAAGTACTCCGTATTACTTTAAAACTTCCTTATTGGTTACATGTTCCGTTCATGGTATTCTCACGATTTTTCTGTAGAACTTACGGTCATATCACGTTGAAACAGCGGTTCCCGTATGTTCAACGAAGTTAAGCAACGTCGATCTTAGTCAGTATCTAGATGGCTGCCCGCTTGGGAATACCAGGTGCTGTAATCTTAGGTGTTTATTCTCATACAATTACCGAAGTTAAGCAACGTCGAGTCTGGTCAGTATCTAGATAGGTGGCCACTTTGGATACTTGGTTCTATAATCTTGGGTGTGCGTGCACTATGGCTTCTGGCTATATCAGGTTGAAATACCAGTTCCTTTACGATCACCTTAGTTAAGCAACGTTGAGACTGGTCAGTATCTAGATAGGTAACCACTTGGGATACTCGCTCCTATAAGCTTGGATGTGTGTGTGGTATGGCCACTGGCTATATCCCGTTGAAATAACCGTTCATTTACGATCACCTTAGTTAAGCAACGTTGAGACTGGTCAATACCTAAATGTGTCATGGCTTGGGAATATCAAGTGCCGTAAACTTAGATGTCCGGGTGGTGTAATGGATAACGGCTAGAATTTTTTAATCGGAGAGCAGAGTTTCAATTTCAGTCATGTTCATTGTATCCGCTTACGTGCAATTGCCCTCGGTAGGAATGCACCTTTTTCCCCCAAGATATGGGTTAATTAGTCATATATTAGTAAATATTTATTATATAATATATATATATATATATATATATAAATTCTTACAATCTAAATATATTTTCTGCCTTTAAATAACCTGAAAATGGTTGCTCGTGCTTGATTCAAAAATCATACGACTCATACAGCAATCGCTATCACTTGACTTAAAATATTTTGCCCTTGCTTGCTTTTAAAGGAGTGCCCTTTGCCGTGCTGATGTTGCTACATGCTTTACTTCTTGCCTATCTCACACTGCGAATTTTTTCGAAGCTCTATACTAAACATTAAATCTGTATCAAAAAAAAAGAACTAAACAAAATGAACACAAAACGATCAGCTGGAAAAACCGAATGAAAAAAGAATGTTAACAAATACTTTTTCACACCCAACCCAGTTCTGCGGACTCAGAATCAACGCTGAGTTTAAGCAAGCGAATGAGCCAATTGGAGTAAAGTGCCATACAAATTTAAATTTTTCTCACTTGTGACGAATGCAGCTATCGATTTTTTTGCATGCTAGCATGCTAGTTAATATTCATGTCAGTCAGCTGTTGGCTCTCACGCTGGACAATAGAATCTTCCTGCCTTATTCGTGGCAGCCAGCTATAGGCTCTCACTCTGGCCAGTAGAAATTGGCCGCAAACTACATGAAAACTGTCGTAGAAGCATGAAAAAATCGATTATTTCCACTCTCGATGGGAGTTGGGAAATGCAAAGTCGGCCTTGGCCTTCCTGCTAACTTGGAACATGTGCATGTAAATTTTGGTGCAAATCCGTCGAAAATTCCGGCCGTGCATTCGTTACACACACACACACACACACACACACACACACACACACACACACACACACACACACACACACACACACACACACACATCCTGCCTTTTATAGATAGAGATTTTTACAATTAAATAAAAACGGTGATTTTTTTTATATCCGTTACAATCTGATCACCGACCTGTCACATTGTTTGTCCTAATTAATTAGTGACTAATCACTAATTAATATTCAATTGGATAGTTTTCGTTTCCAATCGGATTTTTATTTTCTTTCATTCGATACGAATCTCGAATGTCTTCGATTTTGTGACACCACTAATTAGCATGGCTGTTATTTTTGTTTAATTGATTATTGTTTGTTCAAACTTCAAGGAAAAAAAGTAAAAAACAAAAAAAAAATGAATTTCAAGATGATAAAATTCCAAAAATAAAAATGTTCACGTGGACTTTAAGATATAAAAAACACTTCGCAACCCAGGGAACATGAACATGGCAAGGCAGAGGCTACCTGAAAAGAGAAATGGAATACCTTTTTACACGAGCCCCGAACAAATGCTTCAACAACTATGGCAAAGTAAGATATCATGACAGTCGTCGAAAGCGTAATTGACGAACAGGGTTCAAGTTCCTCCCTAGACTGTTGCATTCACTTTCTCACAAAAACCTTTCGGAAAGGTTTGTTTCCGTATTTTTTTCTCCACATCTATAGGTTGAATAGTAGAGTAGACCCAGGTCTCGAGTTATAAACGGAATATAAACTCTGAATTCCAAATTTCAGAGAAAACAATGCGTAAATATTCCATTGTACTTTCGATTCGTAAAAATTAAAGAAAAATGAAGGGACATGATATTTATATAAAAGGTTAGAAAACTAGATGTCCTACAAGGATTTCTTATTGATGGGCGAAATATTACCCCCACCCCCACCCTAATATACGCAGATGACACTGTATTGATGGTAGATACAGGGACGACAGGATTTCCTAGAAAAGGTAGTAAAAGAAAGAGGGAAGAAAAGAGTATGCATCATGTTTGGTTTGGTTTGGTTTGTTTTACGGCATATCAAAACCTCAAGGGGTCATTTAATGCCGACAACTTTTTTTTTCTGGTAATTTTGTTTTGTCAAAAATCTATTTCTGTTAATAATTTTCCTCAAAAATATATATCTGGTAATAGCATTTTTTTTTTTTCCAAAAACGTATAGCTGGTAATACTATTTTTTGAAAAACGCATAGCTGGTAATACAATTTTTCCAAAACGTATAGCTGGTAATATCATTTTTTCAAAAACGTACAGCTAATAATACTATTATTTTCAAAACCGTATAGCTGGTAATACTATTTTTTCAAAAACATATTGCTGGTAATATTATTTTTTTCAAAGACGTATTGCTGGTAATAGTTTTTTTCAAAAAACGTATTGCTGATAATATTTTTTTCAAAAACGTATAGTTGGTAATATTATTTTTTCAGAAACGTATAGCTGGTAATACTATTTTTTTCAAAAAATGTATAGCTGGTAATATTATTTTTCAAAAAACGTATAACTGGTAATATTATTTTTTCAAAAACGTATAGATGGTAAATTTTTTTTTTCCTCAAAAACGCATTGCTGGTAATATTTTATAATGCGTTTTACTTGTTTCGGGGTTAACTATTTGCCCATAGCTGGGACCCTAACAGGTGCTACCATTCCGGCTCAGGGTGGACCTGGGAACACCAACAATTAAGAGGTGGTTCCACGCTCCTCAAAACCTCCTGATCAGAAGCCTTGCTGCTGGACGTAGTTTATCGTCATACCCAGGACGCGGATGTAGTTTATCATCATACCCAGGACGCATTATGCATCATGTGTAAGATAACAGAATTTATGGTTGTGAACAAAAGGAACAGCCGAATAATAGGCAGAAATTTAACTATCTGAGGAATATTTTAACGAACGTCGGGATATGTGACCCATAAACCCGGAGTCGCATTGGAATAATGAAAGAGAAAATATCGGTAAAAAACAAAAAAAGAGGGATCCCTCACAAATCGACCATGGTGAGATTCGAACCCGAATCAACTGGTTAGAATGTGGACGTTCTAACCACTAGGCCACGTTTCACTATTATGGTACTATTTATACTGGTATAATACTGACTCTACCTACTTGTTTACCATCTCTTGCTAAAGATGTTAGACATTTGACAGATTCGTTTTTTACGGTTTATCAACCCCTTGCGGGTTATTTAAAATCAGAAATTGGATCGTAACAATTTTTTTTAAAGAGAATAATAATGATTTAGTGGAAAAACTCCTACTAATTAACCCATAGCTGGGGGAGAAGAGTTGGATTTATACCTTTCGCAAGAGCATTTGCGCGTAAGTGAATTTAACGAACCCGACTTGAATTGGAACTCGGCGGCCCGATTTCCAGCTCCGAGAATTTATGCATTACACAACCCGCACATCCAAGTTTGCAGCATCTGGTTACCCATCTAGGTACTGACCAGACTCAACGTTGCTTAGATTCGACGATCCGGTGTTTCAACCTGATGAGGCCGTAAAGATGTTAGAAAAATAATCGACTCATTCTGCCAGGCCAGGAAGTAACTGACTCCTTCCACTATGTTGCATCTGTATAAGTGTCGGGTTCAGATTAGAGCAAAAAGGAGGTATTGCTGCCATATCCGGGCTGGAGCTACTCGATCTTCGCATTTCAATATTGATAGAGTTCAAAATAGTCTGCTTTCCGAAGGAAGATTTATTCCCTCCTTTGAAGCCGCTTTCTCGCTGATGCATCGTCGCAAAATCCATCGCTTCTCTATTGCTTTCTGTCTTCCATTGCTAAGATTGCTCTTAAAATGGTTAAGAATGAATGAGCTGGGATGCAAGTAAAAGCGGCCAAGTAGGAAATGAAGATTACGAAACTAAGGAAGACTGTGGCGGACATGAGACAGAACCTGGGACGAGCACAACTGGTCGCGACTTGCCTTGTCCCCGCCAAAAAAGAGCCCGTATTTGTTTAGCATGTAAAGCTACTGCAGTTGAAATGAGGGAGAAAAAAGCACTTACCGCTCTGCCGTAATCCGTCCTCGGCCAGATAACGTAAAAGAATGAGGGGGGACTGGCATTGCATTTTTATGCAACAAAGATGCAATGCATTATGGGACATGGACGCAATGAATTATGGGATCACATGAAGACGCAAGGGATTATGAGTATATGGACAACTATAAAAGCAACTACTTTTTTCCAAGTCGGGGAGTTCTTCGAGTGACGTTCACGGTTGGCGGCAAGAACAGTCTGTTAGTGTGATTTGGTGACAGAACTCAAGAAGGAACGACTCAAGGTTGAAATACCAGCTGGGAGAGCTTGAATTTACTCGCTGGTTGCTGTTTTCTTTATTCGCCTCAAAGACAGATAACAACTGAACCCTAGAATTGAAGACATTAAGATTGATATAACGGAATATGCATACAACTGAGTTCCCCCCCCCTCACTGGAATATGATTGGCTGGTGTCCGTCATAAATACAGACGGAAGTGTAGGTACGACAGAATTTAAGTCTATGGCGACGCCCATTGTACTACGCCATTGGCTATCCTATTGGTCTACACCTATTACCTGTGACTACGACGAATACCAGTCGATTACTGGTACCGTGTACTACTTGGTTACAGTAGCCAAAACCACTTAGCTACTTCGATCAAATATATCCC